TTTTGTAAATCCGACTCAAGTAAACTTATAATCAATCTTAGACGTAAGTATTAAGTATTATTCATCTTTTGGATAATTTTATGTTGGTTTATTTTATGAATATGCAGTGGCTGATCCAGAACTTTTCATAAGAGAGGGCCGGCTCCAGTCATGCTTCAGTGATCCCTATATAATCAACCAAATTTTTCCCAAGAAAGGGGGCCCGGGCCCACTCCCCTCCCCCCTATTTGAACTTTCAAATTCACAACATGCCGGTGCCTGTGACTGTGTTCAAAGTGGTGGGTTTTCACCCTCGTTGTATTGCGGAATAACGATTTAGGCAAATTGAGAAAAACATCATGTCTGTGGTTGATAATAGTGTATATGCATTAATTTTCTATACCTTCTTATTAAATATTTTTCCAATTTTGAGTACTGACGGCAAGTGTTGTAACGTATAGTGTACCAATGTCTTGAGACCAATGTGCTATTTACAAGTGCGATCGAGGAATGCAGGGGAAAGAAACTTATCAATTATGTTTATTCTTAAGACAAAACTGAGCCGCCGTAAAAATGAACCGTGTCGAGAATGTTACTGACACGTAATAGGGAAGAGACATATATACACATATGTGTATATATGTCTCTGTAATAGGGTCATCCCTCATAACATTAACTAGTACATTGATAATTTACTATGCAGTCAGTATCCCGAAAAAAAACAACGTATGGATGCAAAACGCTTAGTGGTTTCGGCTGACTGCTGATACGTGCACTTTGTCTCAAAATATCCCGGATAGTTGTTTCATTACCAATCATACCACATCTCCTTATTTTTATATATACGAAAGCTTTATTCATATTTTTTGGTGTATTGATGAATGTGTAAAGATACATTTTAAAATACAGCACAAGAGATGCAGATTATATAAAACTTATAGGTCGAAGACATACTGACAACGCCATGGCAAAAACTTAAAAACGACCAAATGACGTACAACAGTCTATAAAACTTAACTATAGCATACAAAACGCAAATATTTAAAACACATAAGAAGCACCCAGACAGTCAAATAGAAATTAAAAGAATAAATAATTTGTAAAGATTTTCAACTAGGCCTACAGCTATATTTTCTTATCATCTAACAGTAAACATAGGTTCTGGCATTATGTGATAAGTCATTTTTTCATGCAGACCCAGTTTCATTGATACTTTGAACTTAAAGTGGTTTTATGCATATCAGCCCAGATTATCATATGTGTGTAATTTTATTATACAATTCACCAATACACATTCTAAACAGGTTAAATTCAATTTACAAATTCAGATCTACTGGCATTCAACACCCAATTACTTACTTGCTGTATATTGCTAACTTTGATTGTATATTGTCAATCCCTCAACATCGTGAATACGCCATGCGAGGTGTTGGCTATGTTTGATACAGGGTGGCGGCTTCGAAGCGTAGAACAAAATCCAGGTAAATGAAAGTATAAAATTTTGTTGTTGAAAATTTTTAGTACTAAATTCCTAAATTTGTACTTAACTCCGTTCTACGGGTAACATGGTTGTTTGATATGAAAATAGGATAAAAGCTTCCGAAAATTATCACATTATAAGTATTCGTAAATGGATATGAAAAAACCTAACAAGGAATAAGTATTGGTAAACGGACAGAAAGTCGCAGTACAAAAGTTTAAATTAATTATTTTACAATTGTTTAAATATATGAGAGAAAGTTCTTGACGAATTGACTTTATTTATAGATGGTATTTAGTTGAGGAAATGATTAATTCGCTTTCAAATATTTTTTTTTTTATCAAAAACTTATAAAAAGGAGACATTTTTGACAGCATGAAGCCAGTTAATTACCAAACCACTTTGGCAGACTGTTTTCTTAACAATCATTGTTCAATATTAATATTCAAAAATAAATTTTGTGTACAAGTCCGTTTCCTTTTAAAAATATTTCAGAAAAATGCTGAAACGTTTTTAAAATTAAGTTTATTCAAAGAAAAAAATATCCCAAAACTGAATCGTGACTTTTTACTTGTTACTTTATGCTGTACGTTCTAAGTGTCAATCCTAGCAAACACAAATTTGGAAATAAATCGATTACAATGTAATTTTATAGAAGAAAAAAGGGGGTTAATGAACAAATTATTACTATACACTCATATACTTCTAAAAAGATTTGAATTTGTAAGCTGTCTATAGATAATGTTAAATCATTTCAAGAGTTTCAATTAATTTAGGAGAGAAAAAAGATTATAAACAGTTTAGTTTTCGTCGCCTACTACTATAAAAAATAGTGATTCTTTTTGTAGATTTGGTACTTCAGTTTCGACTCAAAATTTCCTATTGAAATTGTTAGAAATATTTAGGAGAAGATTGTATTTGTAATTTATGTAATTGTGGTGATATTGGCGACGCGATTCATTATATTATAGCAAGGATTTGTACAAATCCTTGATTATAGAATGTTCGACAAGAGACGAAAGTAGACAAACCCTATTTAAACGGGGTTTTGATATCCAAGGACGCCACATTTTACATCGAATAAGATCTATATTTTTTAACGTTTTCAAATGAAATAACTTGAATTGAAAATTTCCCGACTATGTGAAGATTTCTTATATTTCGAAATGGCTTCAATTATTACATACAAAATGAAAAATGTATTTAACTTCTTTTTGTAAAAACAATATTCATGTATTTTTAGAAACATAAGTTATACAGATGTTCTCAATAAAAAACAATCATTAATATACTTTATGGTGATATTTATAATGACTGGCAGACTGCTATTTAAAAGTGCGGTCATATGCCTCAGTGTTATAGGTGACTGCAATTTAATAAAATTGAAATTAAGATTTTTATTAATATTTTGTATATAGGTATCCCTCAATGATGTATAGCATGGACAGACTGAGAAGGAATGGTATTCATCCTCAATTTCTTGTCTACTGCAGGATAGGCAAATAACATAAGTTTATTTGCTACTTGTTTTCTTCTTTATTTTATATAAATGATTTTTCTTTCTTCAAATTTTAACATTTTTTTCTTCGAAAAATTTGTAGTGTTGCAACAGGGAATGGACACAGATACTTAACTATATTTAACGAAAGAAATTTTGTGTAATGTTATCAATCTGTATTACACATCGACAGGATGTTCTTTAGAAAACTATGGTATTTCTAAAACGTTATACACACCCCAGGGTACACGCACTGTCGTAATGGAAAATTACTGCATGCTTTAATTACCTGTAATCAGCCATGCAACAAATCCGTTGACTGACCATGTCATTACAGTTTAATTTTTTTTTTTCCTTAGATCAAAACGGAATATTTATTTTAACTTTAAAATTTAAAACTTTAAAAAGTATACTTTGACATAATTATGAAGTAAAAGAATTTAACAATTTAATAATTGGATTTTTCCAAAGATTAAGATACAATTATTATATTTATTATTCTAGGACTGACAGATATATCACAGACACTTGTCTCAGATTTTTCCCCCTATATACCTTAATTAAAGTATATAGATTTTTTTTTTCTGAGACAAGTGCCTGTGAGATATATACATGCATAAGTCCCAGACATATATACTTGTAAATCAAAATGATTTACATAATTACTGGGAAATAATATAATGTTTCAGTTTTGTTGATGTCACAAATACACATGAATTATTTGATGATGCATGCTGGAATTTCTTATCTAAATGCATGACCGTGACTACAGACATATATCCATTTACAGATTCTATAATTTCTTGAGAAAAAAAATCAGGAGGGAAGTCAGAGGGAAGTGAAACAAACATTTTAAGCTTTTATTAAACATTGTTGGGAAAACAATAAAATACGACACTGAGTTTTGAAAAAAAAGTTTATGATTGGTCTTGATTTTTTTTTAACAAAGATAGAAACAATTTTTTGTCCCAAGAAAAAAAAACAATGCCCCCTTTTTAGTCACACCGACACACGCCGATGAATGGAGAATTCCAAGTAGGGTCACAAGGTCACATTTTAAAAGTTTTTCAGTCGCCCAGTCTCAAAAAGCAATTTTGACTGGCTTTGTTTTATTAGTCGAATTATATTTTTGCAGGTCAGGTTGCAAAGTGGCAGGTCAGATTTGACCATGTTGACAACGGTCCTAAAAATATCCGAAAAAACGTTGAATCAAACGATATGAACCTACACAGTTTTAATTATAAGACTGACACACACCATGCAGTGTACTAACTGTGCTGGGTGAGGTGCTGTAACTTGATATACATGTATCATTAAGTTACAGTACTGTTAGGATTTGCCTGCCTTTTTACAGGGACTTTCTATACTAACTGTTAGTATAGACTGACCCTGGCTTGAAAGTATGGTTCTCTGCTCAGCAACGGTCGCGTGATTGTAGCAGTAAAATACATCGGAGGGGGGGGGGGGGGGGGAGGGGGGGGGGGGAAGGCACTTCAATACTTAATTGATAGGGGTGTCGCTTGGGTTCTGTTACCCCACCCTTTTCATATAATTTAGATCTTAAAAATGTATACCTTTTCATATATTGCGTCGGTAAAATTGTAACCTTTTCCCATATTGGTTGGGTTTCGTGGGGTGTGTTGGAAAAGTGGAATATTTAAGGCTAAGATTCTGTGTGTAATGTTTACTTACGGCGAGACTTTCGGCTGTGAAAAAATGACAGGGCTTTGCATATACAAGTAATTGGAACTTTATCGACCTTATCATATATTTCTGACAGTTTTCCCCACCTATTCCCATATTTTCAAGCTGGAAAAAGTGACCTATTCCAGCGGCACGTCCTATCACCTTGTATATAGGAAGTGCCCCCCCCCCCCTGAGTAATATACGCAAATGTATAAGTTAATACATTAATTCAGGAGCACAGTCTGTCTTTAACGTAAATAACTTCGAGATTAATATGTAAGTTTACTTTGCTTATCGATGTTCCTGTAATTCAGAATTATATTTATTTGTGAGACCCCCGTCACTATTTATAGTCACTCAAAGAAAGGGGTTCTCCGTTACTGGGAAAATCTTATCTGATTTAGGATCAATTTATTGGTTACACTCCCCTATCACCAGTGATTCTTTGTCGTAAGCTGACATTTTGAAAAAGGTATACTGTTGACCTATCAATTTGCATGATTAGTTACAGATGTCGAGCTAGGATGAAATTTGTAAAAAAAGCAGGACAGGAGTTTTGAGTAAAAAAAAAAAAGGCAGGATGAGCAACATGGCAAAAAAAAAGGCAGGATGACAATTTATGTAAAAAAAAGTCAGGATAAACTAATAAAAAAAAAGGCAGGATCGAATAGAGTGAAAAATATAAAGGCAGGACAGAGATTACAACTTAAAAAAATGCAGGACAACATTTTTCATCCTACCCCCCCCCCCCCCCCATAAAAATCAAATGGTAACTCCCTTACACCTACATGACAAAAACATATACAAATATGGTATCATTGGACATTGCCAATGTGACGGCTCTTCAACAGAAACTAAAGACGTAGAAGTTAACAACTATATAGGTCACCGTAGGCTCTTCAACAGAAACTAAAGACAGAAGTTAACAACTATATAGGTCACCGTACAGATTTCAACAATGGGCTAAAAAGCCAAACTGCGTAATAAGCTACAAAAGGCCAAAATAGATAGACGATATCTGACAAGGGTAGAAATGATCAGAATGTTGAAAAATAAAATCTACTGTCCATTTTAAATGGCATCAAAACTGGCAGCTGACTCATAGGAGTTGTTGCCTTAAATACAGATTTTTACCTTTCTTTTTTCTTCATATTTCTTGAATTTGCCTTTTTATCTCTAAAACTGTAATATTTAAAGAGAAACTTACATTTGTAAATCTTATTAAAAAGTTATTGCTTTTCAATGATGATTTTGATCCAGTTTTTGCAAAAACTTGGAAACTTTAAATCTTGGGTAAACTCCTTATATTATTCTGCCTGGTCTCGTGGTAGAGTGTTAACCTCAAGTGCAGAAGGTTGTTTATTTTGAACCCAACAGGGTAAAACCAAAGACTTTAAAGTTGGTATTTGCTGCTTCTCCTCTAAGCACGCAGTATTATTAAGGAGTAAGAGCAAATACTGGTTTGTTCAGAGTCAGAATTATGTGTCAAGGTAAGGTGACATGTCTCTCTGAGAACTAGTGTAAGAGATAAATTAGTCCATGTAAAAATTGTCTGGTCAGACAAATATAACTAGTATAAAAAGTCCATGGATACAGAATTTACTAGTATATTTAGTCTGATGTCAGTAATTTATGTCCCCAGACTAATTTTCCTAGTCCAAGACATCACTAATCCTAGGTAAAAATGTCCAGTTTTTATACGGCCGCAAAAAATTTTTGCGGTCGTATATTGGTATGACATTGGCGTCTTCGTCCAAAGACACATTGGTTTTCGCACAATAACTTTAGTTTAAGTGAATGGAATTTATATGAAATTTTACCATAAGGTTCAATACCACAAAAGGAAGGTTCGGAATGATTTTTGGGGTTATGGTACCAACAGTTAAGGAATTAGGGGCCAAAAAGGGGCCAAAAATAAGCATTTTTGTAACTTCCAGACAATAACTTGTGTGTTAGTGTATGGATCACTCTGACATTGTACCACAAGGTTCCATATCACAAAGGGAATGCTGGGATTGATTTTGGGGGTAATTGCCTCAAAATTTTAGGAATTACGGGCCAAAAAAGGGGCAAAAAACAAGCATTTTTCTAGTTTCATGACAATTACTTGTGTGTAAGTGTATGGATCTTTCTGAAATTGTACTACAAGGTTCCATATCACAAAGGGAAAGCTGGAATTGAGTTTGGGGGTAATTTCCCAAAACGTTTAGGAATAAGGGGCCAAAAAGGGGCTAAAAATAAGCATTTTTCTAGTTTCCAGACAATAACTTGTGTTCAAGTATATGTATCTCTCTGAAATTGTACTGCAAGGTACCATACCACAAAGGGAAGGCTGGGATTGATTTTGGGGGTAATTGCCTTAAAATATTAGGAATTAGGGGCCAAAAAGGGGCAAAAAACAAGCCTTTTTCTAGTTTCAGGACAATAACTTGTGTGTAAGTGTATGAATCTTTATGAAATTGTACTACAAGGTTCCATATCTCAAAGGGAAAGCTGGGTTTGAGTTTGGGGGTAATTGCCCTAAACGTTTAGGAATTTGGGGCCAAAAAGGGGCAAAAAAACAAGCATTTTTCTAGTTTCCAGACAATAACTTGTGTTCAAGTGTATGGATCTTTCTGAAATTGTACTGCAAGGTACCATACTACAAAGGGAAGGCTGGGATTGAGTTTGGGGGTGATGAATCATAAGGGGATTAAAAAAATGGGGGGGGTATTTTTTTTCTTTAAAATTTTCCATTTTAAGTTGGTTATTTTTTATTTATGTATAAAAGCAAATAATAATGATATGATTTGATTTCATCAAAAATTGAAATATTGGGCTTCTTTTTGATATGCTGAATTTAACCGTGTATTTAGATTCTTAATTTTTGGTCCCGTTTTCAAATTGGTCTACATTAAGGTCCAAAGGGTTCAAAATTAAACTTAGTTTGATTTTAACAAAAATTGAATTCTTGGGGTTCTTTGATATGCTGAATCTAACCGTGTATGTATTTAGATTTTGGATATTGGACCATAATAGGTAAATTAAAAAAATTTTAAGTTCTTAGACCACATTCATTCTGTGTCAGAAACCTATGCTGTGTCAAATATTTAATCGCAATCCAAATTCAGAGCTGTATCAAGCTTGAATGTTGTGTCCATACTTGCCCCAACTGTTCAGGGTTCTAACTCTGTGGTCGTATCAAGCTGCATCCAGCGGAGCATTTTATTCTAATACTGTATGCAACATGTCAAGTATATTTGGTGTATGAAAATTTTTAAGGATGTACATGTTAGTCTGGCATGTTTTATTCGACCTTGACCTCATTTTTATGGTTCATTGCTCAATGTTATTTTTTTGTTTTTTGGTCAGTTTTTCTATTTTCTTATTTCAAATTAGCAATAGGTCAACTATATTTGGTGTATGGAATGATAGTAAGGTGCATATCATGATATGTTTGACTGAGAAGTTTCGTCTTACCTTGACTTTATTTTCATAGTACATTGGACAATGTTTAGTTTTTGTGGTTTGGTCTATTTTTCGTATACTGTAAGCAATAAGGCCCTTATATTTGGTGAATGGAATAATTGTAAGATGCACATGTCTGTCTGGCATGTTTTATATGACCTTGACCTCATTTTCATGGTTCATTGGTCAATGAAAAGTTTGCATTGTTTTGTCAGTTTATCATATGCTTTAAGCAACAGGTAAATTATATTTGGCGGATGTAACAATTGTAAGGTGTGCATGTCTGTCTGGCAGATTTATATAACCATGACCGTATTTTATGGTTCTTTGGTCAATGCTAAGTTTTCTTGGTTTTTTCTTTTTATCAGATATTATAAGCATATGTCTACTTGTAAGTGTATGGAATGACTGCAAGGTGTCATATAAAAATAAGAAGTTGTCTGTCTGCCAAGGTTAATGTTACTGTGACCTCATTTTCATAGAATATTGATAATATTAAACAAAAAAAATGATGAGCATGACAAGATATACAAATGATCCAAAATTGTCAGTTGCCTACTAATTATGTAATAGTAGTTATTGTCATTAAATGATAATGTTTACCCTTTTATGTGTAGGGCAAGAACATTAAAGATAAAGGGAAACTATAAACAAAAGAGATTATCAACAAAAATAGATTTCAGACGTCAACAAAGCCTAAATGGTAAGTCCACTTCTATAAAAGTTATTGCCTTGAATAATGATTATTATGAAAATAAGATGTGGTATGGTAAATGAGAAAACTATCCACCAGAGTTCAATTAAGTGGATGAAAGCAATGCAATTACTTATTAGAGGCCAATGATGACCTGTAAATAATGAGAAAACTCATAACCTTTACATGACATAGTCATCTATAAAAGACACCACAAACAAAATTTGGAACAAAACATCAATTCAAACTTCAAATATACCAGACTAATTCATAAAAATGAACAAGTTATGAAAAAACAAATATGACGGACGTGAACCAACATCAACCACTGAACTATGTACAGGCTCCTGATTTCGGACAGGCAAAATATGGCAGGGTTGATATGAAAATAAGAAGTGGTATGATTGCCAATGAGACTTTTCTCCAATAAGGATCAAATGACATGAAATTTAACAAAATTAGTTCACTGTACAGCCTTCGACAATGAGCAAACCCTATACTGCATAGTAATCTATAAAAGGCCATGAAATTCAAAAAAACAAATGTAAAACAATTCAAAAAGGGCATGGCGTCATTTAAAAAGGGCATAATGTCTATCCATACTAAACATGCTTGGGGGATACACCACAAAGGCGAAAGCTAAGTGCCTGATTTTTGCACAAAACAATAAACAAAAAATAAATATGATATATAGCAACAATTGACAACCACTGAATAACAGGCCCCTGACTTGGGACAGACACTTAAAAATGTGGCATGGTTTAACATGTTTGCTGGCACCAAATCCCCCTCTAATTAAGGACAGTGGTATAAGTGTCAGTTCAATATAAAAACTATAAAATCAGTTCCCGTTTTCATTCTCAATTTTATTAACTCATTAGAATGCAACAAAGCAGAAAAACAGCTACCAAAAACACAGACGGGATGTGGCTGGACATTTATTCTTTCCCTGTAACAAAAAAGACTCAACATACAGATCTATTAGTACTCACAGTTACTGACAGCTAATTCATAGCAAATATCAACTAATAAAATAAACATTTTGTGAGCACCCATCCCACCCCTAACCTAGGACAGTGGTTTTAATAACAGCACAACCTTTGAACAAACTGTAAACATTTGTTGCAATTGGCTTAACTCAAAAGACTGCAACAAGGCACAAAAACAACTAATATGAAAACCATAGACACAAAGCACTGAAATAAGAGTACTTACAATTTTAAATATTCAAATGAAAGTTTTATCAAATTGTACATAAACATGATAAAGTAGCCATTTTATTGCTGTATTTCTCTTCATTTATAATTTTTGAGTTTTGTGTATTTGTAGGTCAGACATCTTGGTTTTCATGATCATCATTCAACAGGTCAATACTGAACAGAAAACTTAAAGTTGATATTTTTCTATATAGTGTGACTTTTTTATTAATTTGAAATGGAATGTGTTTTTTTCCTACATAAGAAAGAGGAAATTTCAACATAATGACTATAAACAAAAAGGAGTCATATTATCATGATCATAGATGCACGTCAAGAACTAAATCATGTAAATGCAACAACGTAATTATCAATTGAAAGAAGGGAGGAATGAAAAAATATATTAGAAATTTGTTGTCCAAATGAACTTGCTTTGTCCACTCATTTAAATCGCTCCATCCAATAAAGATGTACGGAGGAGGATTTTTGAAGAACAGATTGCAAAAATGTTTTGTCTAAGAACTGTAGGAATATTCTAGTGGATGAAATAATTTATTTACTTGACTCTTATGTAGTGGACTGAATAATTGTACATAGCAAGCTGAAACAAGAAAACTAAAACTTAACAGGAAAAGTGTTTATTTTATAAATTTGCAAATATAAACGTAATATTATGAACACCACAAAGGTATAAGATTCAAATTGTTTGCATATTCATGTATTGCAATGGAACTATAACAAAGAAAACTTTACCTCATTAAAAGAGTAAACTATTAACTGTGCTGGGTCAATTTATTCAGTCAGAATATGAAATATTTTTTTCAGTTCTATTTTTCATACTAAAACAAACAAGACAAAGATTTCAAATCAATATTTTTTTTTTTATTAAGACATGTCATTTTATTTCAGTTAAAGGATTTTATTTTTTAACTTTAAATATTATTATACTTTCCAAAATAATAATAATCTTTATTGTCATATAAACAAATTAAAAACATGTTTGTGACAAAATGAAAAAACCCAAAAAACACTAATATTTATATTATAAACTTTTTACTACCAAACAGAATTCATTGTAACATACACATTACTGTATATTAATAATTTGAATTCCATAGGATTTTATTTTGTCCCATGGGATATTAAAAATCCCATGGGATAATTATAGTCCCATGGGATTTTTTTGGTCCCATGGGACAACAAATATCCCATGGGACTACAATTATCCCATGGGACCCAAAAAAATCCTATGGGATTTAACCAAAATCCCATGGGATAATGGTCAATCCCATGGGATTTGCCGTATCCCATGGGATATTGAAAATCCCATGTTTTTCTAAATCAAATTACAAAATATATATAATAATAACAGCAGAAAAGCAATGAAATTATTGAATCCCATGTAATTCTGCACATTTTGGTTATATACACGACACTGTAGGTGTAAGGAGAGGCGGCGGCGGATTTGCAAATGAGTGTTTTGCAAATTAAAAGTGTCCAGTGTTGGCCAATAAATTCAAGTTGCCTGTTAAAAAAGACTTTATTAATGTTATGCAAGATACCATCAAAGATCACTATGTGTTAATCAAATAATATTGTAAATAAGAGGGTTGTCCAAAATATTTCCAACAGTTGTTTGATAAACACTAACTTAATCAAATTACACTGATAAAAAGCAGTTTTGGTCAGTCTTAAGAATCAAATATAATTTAGAAAAGTGCAAGCTGTTGATAAAAACTACAAATATCAGCCTGAGGGAACTGCCAGTCATAAAATAAACTTGACAACGCCATGGCCATCAAAGAAAAAGACAAACAGACAAATAATAGTACACAAGACACAACATAGAAAACTAAAGACCAAGCAACACGAAAATGTGGGTTGATATTACCATTTTGCACAAATGAGTTTCGGGACAAAGGAAACTATTTTCGGCACAAACCGATTATACCCTTTCAAAAACTATGTGTAGTCCCTTTTATAAAAGTGGCAGATGTTTTTTTTGCCTATTTATTCATGATTTCTATGACAACTAACTGCTGCTCCTAGTAAAGTTAGTCTTTGGTTTTTGAAAGATTGGATCCATTGTTACAATTCTTTTCTAAGGCACCGGCCTCATAAACAGGAAGTAGCCAAATTTGTAGCAGTACTAATACAATACTGTAAAAATAAGGAGATGTGATATGATTGCCAATGATACACCTATCCACTCAAGTTCAAATGAAGTGGATGTAAGCAGTTATATGCAACCATACAGCCTTCAACAATGAGCAAAAACATACCATATAGAACCTTGTAAAGGCTAGTATGATTTACATTTGCAATAATCACTGAACAATCAGAAACAAGTTTGGGCCTAAATCAGTATGTCCTAACTCCCAATCAAATTGATCGAAGAGAGAGGCGAAAGATAACAAAGGCTCATTCAAACTCATAAGTCAATAATAAACTAACAAAACCACGGCAAAAAAGAGAAAAATTAAAAGTCAATCAACAGTATGCAAAACACAACAAAGAACACTAAAGACTGAGCAAAACGAACTTCACCAAAAACTGATGTGACCAATTGACTAATTAATCTGAGCCGTACATTATTTAGCAGACCCTTTATTATACCAAACCAAACAAAGTTCCTAAGGGTACAATGTTTTTGACCCATCAGTCTGTCTGTCCTGTTCTCGTTATCTCAACTCCTCTGAAACCATATAACAGAATTTTATAAATCTTTGTAGATAATATCGACAGGAAATTATGAAATTATCGATTCATTGATTTTCTATTAGTTATGAGAATTTTGGCCTAAATATACTTCTACAACAGTTTGTCATCACAACTTTCTGAAAGTACACAACAGAGTTTCATGAAATTTTTTAGATAGTTAGGACATGCTATGTCGATGTGCATATCGACAGAAAATTATGATTATATTTGTATGCTCTACCCACGATAGTAGATGGGCATTACGTTTTCCGGTCTATGCGTCTTCCGCTCGTTCGTCCGTCTGTCCCGCTTCAGGTTAAATTACTTGGTCAAGCACGGTAATTTTAGATGAAGTTGAAGCCCAATCAACTTGAAACTTAGTACATATGTTTCCTATGATATGTTCTTTCTAATTTTAATGCCAAATTAGAGTTTTTACCCCAATGTCACGGTCAACTGAACATAAAAAATGATAGTGCGAGTGGGGAAACGTGTACTGTGGACACATTCTTTGTTTTTGTCGAGCCTGCGACTTTCGTCGCAGAAAGCTCGACATAATGATAGTGATCCGGCTGCGGCGGCGGCTACGGCGGCGGCGGCGGCGGCGGCGTTAGTTCACTTCTTAAAAGCTTTATATCTTAGAAGGTGGAAGACCTGAATGCTACATACTTTGTATATAGATGCCTTAGGTTAGGAAGTTTCCGTCTGTCAAATATCCATTGTCCTTGACCTCATTTTCATGGTTCAGTGACTACTTGAAAAAAAGTTAAGATTTTTTGTAATGTTAATTTCTCTCTTTTTATGATTAATTGGGTAACTATATTTAGTATGTGCGTACCTTGCAAGGTCCTCATGCCCATCAAACAGTTTTCACTTGACCTCGATATCATTTCATGGATCAGTGAAGAAGGTTAAGTTTTGGTTGTCAAGTTTATATTTCAGATACTATAAGCAGTAGGTCTAGTATTTTTGGTGTATGGAAGGATTGTCAGGTGTACATGTCCAACTGGCAGGTTTCATCTGAGCTTGACCTCATTTTCATGGTTCAGTGGTTATAGTTAAGTTTTTGTGTTTTGGTCTGTTTTTGTTATACTGTATGCAATATGTCTACATATTTGGTGTATGGAATGATTGTAAGGTGTACATTTCCAATTGACAGGTATCATCTGACCTTGACCCCATTTCCTTGGTTCAGTGATCAAAGTTAAGTTTTTGAGTTTTGTTCTTTTTTTGTAATATTATATGCAATAGGTCACGTATATTTGGTGTATGGAAATATCTTATGATGTACATGTCAGTCTCGCAAGTTTTATTTGACCTTGACCTCATTTTCACGGTTCATTGCTCAGTGTTAAGTTTTTGTGTTTTGGTCTGTTTTGGTTACTTAAACTATAAGCAATAGGTCAACTATATTTGTTGTATGGAAGAATTGTAAGCTGTACATGTCTGCCTGGCATGGTTCATCTGACCATGACCTCATTTTGATGGTTCATTTGTCAATGTTTAGTTTTCTTGGTTTAGTCTGTTTCTTAGAAAATACAAGCAATAGGTCAACTATATTAAGGGTATTGAATGATTGTAAGGTGTATATGTATTTCTCGTTTTGGTCATATGACCTTGACCTCATTTTCTTGGACATGATCCAATAAATGAGGTCAAGGTCATATGATCCGCCACTGTCATGTTAAGTTTATAGTTGTAGTAAAGCTTTATATTTAGAACTATCAACATAATATCAATAGTTAGTAAAGAAGGCGAGACTTTTCAGCGTGCATGTGCACTCTTGTTTGGAATTAGGAATTATGCCTTTGAACTTTGTGCATATCCACAAGAAAATTGTATCAGTTGGCTTTTGAAGGAGTTATGCGTCTTTGAACTTAATAATATGTTGAGATTTTGCTTGCTAAGTGACAATGTCGGGCTGTGGGGTATGTGAGCCTGCTCACAAAGGTTCTTTAATTAGACAAAATCAATGCATGAAAAATTATTACACCAGGGTTTTCGATATCATAAACTAGTCAAAACATTTATTAAATTTTATCATCGGTATAAGGACATCATTCGTAAATATAACTCAACATGCAGACATCTTATTTACGTTCTGGTATTTCACATCCAATCTTTTATGGTAATATTCTTTACAAAGCACAAAAATGTCAGTATTCACCTCAAAAGCTAACAAAACCTTTAAACAGACTTATTAAGAAGGGATATAGTTACGATACTGTTGTCAGGTCATTAAAGATTGCATATTTTGGCTTTAATATTGATTCACTTATAGGGTCTTTGCATCGGAATTAAACAAATTTATTCTTAAACCAGTTGTTGGCATGACACGGGTTATGTTCTTCTCATATATTTTATGATGGTATAATACTAAACCCCTAACAGGAGGGACTGTGCCTGATATTCATATGATGAAGACATAATCTTTCAATCAGTTTAATTGAGGTCTGGAGCTGGCATGTCAGTAACTGCTAGTAGTCTGTTGTTATTTATGTATTATTGTCATTTTGTTTATTTTCTTTTGTTTCCTATTCTGACATCGGACTCGGACTTCTCTTAAACTGAGTTTTACTGTGCGTACTGTTGTACGTTTGTTTTGTTCTAAGTTGAAGATACAGTTGTATGTTTTGCTTGTTACTGCAAGATAAAGTGTGTGCATTGCCTGTGGTTCTTAAACAGTCTGTATGCATTTTTTGTATGCTTTGTCTATGGGTCTAATTTTTACATACAGTCTGTATAAAAACTGTATCTCTGACCCATATAAATTGTCAAAATAACCTTTGGTTCTAAAATGCATTTTGTATGGTTGCCTGAATGCTTAGTATATATTGGTTTCGATATATGGTCTGTATGTATTGTATAGATCTTATATATATATTATCTATACGTATATATTTTCTGTATACGTATTTTCCATGTTTAGATGATGCAATGAAAATAAGAAGATATGTGGTATGATTGCCAATGAGAAAAGGTAGTAAACTATCCACCGAAGACAAACGAACGTGAATCAACAATGAGTAACCATACGTATACATGTACTAATATAGACTGTAGTACTCCTATGCAAT